AAAATAAGGGTTTTAGGCTCATGGCCCAAGGCTATCTTCCGACCGGACACGGCAGTGCACAACCTGGAATTCGACCCGGCAGAGTGGGGATGGAAGCCGGATAAGGAAAAAAACATTAAGACGCATGTCCCCATACAGAACTACACAGTCAAACTGGGATACAAACTCTTCTTGAAAACAAAAGACCCAGATCCGGTGATCAAAGCCAGATGGCAGAAACAAATAGGCCAAGAAGCTGACAAAATCACACAGATCCCGTGGAAGAAATTTAAGACTGTCAGACCGATTAAAATTAGAAGCCTTCAGTGGCTTATCGCTTACGTGGCGCTACCAGTTAGAAGCCTTCAGTGGCTTATCGCTTACGTGGCGCTGCCAGTAAATCAATGGCTCCATACACGACGTCGCAGAAACGACCCCTCTAGCTCAGACTTATGCTCTATCTGTACAGAAGAGGTACAAGAAAACCTGGTACACTGTTTAATCCACTGCAGTGAGGCGACGGACTACTGGGCACGGGCCTCAGCTCTCTGGGACTCCCTTTTCCACACTTCCTTCCCCGAACAGCCCATCCAAATTCTTCTCTGGACTAACATTCCTGACCAACTCAGGAAGACGGAAAGATTATTGTTTGGTATGATCAGGAAGGTGACGTTATGGGTTATCTGGAAAGAAAGATGCTGCAGAACCATCGAACGGCTATCCAACCCAAGAGAGAAGGGGGGAGACGAGAACCATGCTACAGGCAGAAATTCTGTGCAAATGGCAGAAGCTAAAACAGTCGATGCCCGAAGACGTGGATCAGCGAGAAAAGGCTAAGAAAAAAATTACCAAGCTGTGGCTAGTGGATGGTAAGGTGGCTGAACTACGAAACGATCGAATTTACTGGAAGGATTGGCACAATTCAGAGGCAGGCAGGAGAGTTCAGGCCGAGCATGCAACGGATGGGCAACTGAGTTGAAGGGAGTAAGGGGCACCAGGTTCAAGAACAAAGGCCAAGAGGGGAGACAAGGAGGATTAAGACGGGGGTGGGAGGAAATATCCCAGGCCGGCTACAGACACTGCAAAATGGGCACAGAACAGAAAAGGGAGAGGGCAGCAAGAGGGGACGCATGTGCGAACTTAAGACGGAGCGGATGATCCCCTACATCAATGCTGGACAGACTACATACAGTACAACAGGAAGAGAAAAAGCGAGGACTACATTGGGCTCGTAATCATTAGGCCATCTCCAGTAGGAAAGGTTTTACGAGGTGGAATAAGGGAGGGTTTAAGGTAAGGGTTTTAGGGACTTAAGTGTCGGGTTTCAGGTCAGGGATTGTAGGTTCTAAGGAGTTGACAGACTGAATCAGATTAAGATAGCTGTCTCAGGTGGAGCATAACCGCCCAAGGCGGACGGGGTAAGGGTCGGACTGGACCAGACGTAACAAGAGGGAGGGCGTTAAATATATGCTGAGGAACTCTAGGGTAAAAGGCAATACACGTAGGGGAACATAGTGAGGGGTAGGGAGCAGGGAAAGGGCTAGACCTTTTCTTGGTTTACGGACCCTATTTGGCAGATCTGCACAGCAGACCTGAGAGGGAAAGGTATAGCAAGGCAAGCTGACAGTCAACCCTCCATGCGAATGGAGTAATCAATGCTGATCAGGGGTCCTTCGGCTGTATGGAAGGAAGCGTGTGTATGTAATCATGATGTATTATTCTTTTGACTTGCCGGTGGGACTAGCATGTAGACGAGTAACCTGCGCCGGATTCAAGGTGAAGAGGTTTCCCCCTCCTCTCTAAATATCCTGCTTAGTCAATCCCCTGAATCCCAGGGTAATCAATGCTGGCAGGAATCCCATAATTGTGTGACAGATGTACTTCAATCTCAGTTTGTATAAGGGACGATGGACCCGTTTTCCAGCAGGTGATGCTCCCCACCAATAGATGGAGCCTCTCCTCAAGTGCTAGTGGTGTCTGCTCTTATCAGCACCACTAACACTGGTGGGAGTTTTTTGTATATATAAAAAAAAAAAAAGTACCAGGGTGCCACACATCTAGCATGTTCGGCCTGGCCAGGCATCACTTCAGCAAACGGCATAACTGAATGACGTCATAATGGCAGGAACCATCTACAATGTCTGCATTTATCTGAGAATTTTCATAGATAGTATAGATCAGCCAAGATGATACAGGGGGGCTGTGGATACCTCGGAGTAGTCTCAGGAAGATCAGTTTTCAACTTCTAGGTGGGGGCTGGGTCAGTTGTTAAGTACGAGCCCCGCAATGGGAACGGGACAACTTGCAGCTCCAAGGGATACAGGGTGCTCCAGAGTAGAATAGAACAATGACTACAGCCTCAACATTGACCTGCATTGTTGTATTAAAGGGACGCTGGACCCGGTTTCCAGCAGGTGTCGCTCCCCACCAATAGATGGAGCAGCCCAACAGCCAAGGCCTCAATTCCGGTGGTTCTCTTACCACTGCCGGGATAGTGGTCTTACAAAAAGGGCTTTTGTGTAA